CTGCCAGCGCCCCTGGACACCATCAACGTCCACATCCGTGCAGGGCACATCCTGCCCCTACAGGTGAGCCCCTCTGCTCCATGGTGACACCACAGTGACCTGTCTGAGCAGCCTGGGAGGGCGGCAGTGCCCACACCGCTGCCAGGACAATGTCAGCTGTGGCTGCAGGGCTGGGGACACGGCTGTGGCAGTGCCCTGAGCTGTGCCTGCCCCATGCCCCAGGAGCCCGCCTTCAGCACTGCCCAGTCCCGTGGGAAGGGCATGGCCTTGGTGGTGGCGCTGAGCCTGGACGGCTTCGCCAGGGGAGAGCTGTTCTGGGATGATGGGGAGAGCTGGGAGACCTTTGAGAGGGGCGACTACACCGAGATCCTCTTCCTGGCCTCCAACGTGAGCACGGGGCAGGGCGGGGCTCCTGGTGACCCTGGCACACCTGTGTCTGCTCAGAGGGGCAGCAGGTGGGGTGGGGCACCTGGAAGAGCCCTGGGAGCACATGGTGCCATCCCTTGTGCCCAGGACGCCGTGCTCAGCCAGCTGCTGCGGGCGAGTGCCCACCTGGACGGGGTCCTGCTGGAGGCCGTGACTGTGCTGGGGGTCACCAGCCCTCCCCGGAGAGTTCTGGCCAACGGTGTCATCGTGAGTGACTTCTCCTACCGCAGTGACACCCAGGTGAGCGCTGGTTCCCAGCCTGGGCAGGGGTGGTGGCCAGGAAGGGATCCGGAGTGCCCTGCCCAGGGGATCTGTGGGACCAGGACTGTGCCAGGCTGTGGCTCTGTGAGGGGCAGACCTCCATGGGCTCTGACACTCCTGGGCTCCCTCCTGCCTGGCTCTCACCTTCCTTCTCCCCCAGGTGCTGAGAGTCCCTGTGTCGCTGCCCATGTGGGAGCAGTTTGTGATCTCCTGGTCCTGACCAGCGTGGGTCACAGGGAGACTGCGCTGCTCCCCTGGAATCCAAGGCCAAATCCATCCCATCCCCTGTACCCTGAGCTGCCCCTGCTCTTCCCACACTCCTGGGCCTTGTTCTCCCTCTGGCTGCTGGGCATTGATGGAGGGGTGTGCACTGGACTGGCAGAGGGAGGGGGCCCTTGCACAGCCCCCAGGGACAGGGAAAACTTCACCATCATCAAATCAGGGGAAAAAAGATCCAAGTGCCTTGTGAGACAGCAAACCAGTTGCTCTGGGGGACTGGTAACTGGGGCAGAGACTGCAGGGAGTTTCGTGGCTGTGGTTTTGGGGGGTGGGATGTGCAGGGACTGAGGGAGCAGTACTGTGAATAAAGCTGCTGTTTGCTGGGAGCAGCCCCAGGCCGTGTCCTTGTCCCCTCTCCTGGTTCTGAATGTGCTCAGTCCCCTGCCCCTGGCTGGGACACCCCAGCTCTGTCCCTGCCTGGAGGTCTCCAGCGGGACCCCCTGTGCCCCTTGAAGGCTTTCCCCATTTCCCAGAGCGCTAGGGGTCCCCAGCTGTTCCTGCAGCCCTGGCTGTGCCACAGAGGCCCTTGGCCTGTCCTGCTGCCTCCAAGCTGGGGGCTGCTGCAGGGCTGTGCCCAGCTCCAGGTGAAAATGAGAGCCTTACCCTCCAGAGGCTTTATTGAGGGCCAGCTTGGCCCTTCAGCTCCTCTGGCTGAGAGCCAAGGCACTAGGAATCCCTCAGTGCTCTGGGGTCAGGCGGTGTTGGCACAGGGGGCAGAGCCTCATGGTGTCCCCGGGATTTGGGACCAGCCCTCATGCCCCACAGGAGCACAGCACAGCTGGGGCACAGGTGGGGTCTGAGCCCCACAGCAGCACAGCACAGCTGGGGCACAGGTGGGGTCTGAGCCCCACAGGAGCACAGCACTGTCAGGGCACAGGTGGCACTCACAGGTGACACTCACAGCTCATTGTGCAGTGGCTGGCACTGGGGGCTCAGTTTCTCCTCCAGGACAGCGTCGGGGGCGCACACCCAGGGGTCCCCCGTGTCCCACTGCCACCTGAGGAGCTGGGCACGCAGCAGCTGCAGGACGCTGGCATAGCGCGGGTCGGGGGCCAGGTTCTGGCTCTCGGCGGGGTCGCGGCTGCAGTCGAAGAGCTCCCAGCGGGCTCGGTAGTAGTACTGCTGCAGGCTCCTGTTCCAGTGCGTCGGCTGCCCCGCCCTGGTGCGCCTCAGCAGGTCCTGGAAGGTGGGCGAGACGTAGAAGTCCTGGTCGATGGGGAAGGGCATCTTGTAGTTGAGGTTGTGGATGAGGCGGAACTGGCGGTGCTGGATGGCTCGCATGGGGTAGTACATGGTCACCTCGTGGTGACTCTGGCTGCTGAAGGCGGTGGCCCAGGGCTGCTCTGACTCCAGGGCTGGCAGGAGAGACTTTCCAGTGAGCTGCACCTGCCTGGTGCCAAAGATGCTGTAAGCAGGGTAGGGGATGGAGAACCAGTCCAGAATGGTCGGCGTCAGGTCTGGAGGGGAGGAAAAGGGTGAGACGGGGACAGGCACTGTGGGAGGAAACTCAGCCCCAGAGAGGGGCAGAAAGGTCCCCAGGGATGGTGTCCCTGCAGGGGACTCCGTTCTGTCCTCTCTCCTCTCCCTTCCCTGCACTGGCCCTGCCAGTGCTGAGGGCTCGGGGCTGCCCCCAGGGACAGGACCCTGAGTTTTGGTGCAGGGAGGGTGGGGAGCAGCCCACCCCGCTCCAGGCACAGCTGTGCTGCCTCCCTCCCTCCCTCAGCACTTACCCAGGAGGCTGGCGAAGGCCAGGCTGACGTGCCCCCAGCGCTGGGGGTGCTCGGGGGAGGAGAGGAGCAGCGGCTGGGCGGTGCCCGAGCGGTAGAGGTTGGTCCTGCCCCCGGGGAAGGGGATGCCGTTGTCGGACGTGTAGATCACCAGGGTGCTGTTGAGGAAGCCGGCGCGGCGCAGCTCCTCCAGGACCAGCCCGATCCCTGTGAGAGCAGGGGCAGAGCTCAGCGGGGAGGGAGAGAGGAGCTGCAGAGCTCAGCCCCAGCCTGGCC